TTCCACTAAGAAACATGCAAGGGGGAAAACAACAAAAATAACACACAGTGACTCACAGTCCTTAAAAGAAATGTTTCTTTTTTTTTTTTTTTTTTTTTTTTTTGTCCTTTTTGAGACCAGCCGCACCACGCTCAGCCAGTGAGCGCACTGGTCATTCCTATATAGGATCCGAACCCGTGGCGGGAGCGCTACTGCGCTCCCAGCGCCGCACCCTCCCGAGTGCGCCACAGGCTCGGCCCAGAGCGATGTACCTTTTGAGGGACACGTGGATGACATTACTGAAGGTAATTACTCTTTAAAAAAAATTTTTTTTTGCACAAAATGAATAAATTCGGATATCATAAAGGTTATGAAATTGCTTTCATTTATCCTAGAGCCTTTCCTATTTCTGTTACGGAGATTAGGGCTATCAAATAATGAAGAAATACGAACATAAAGTAATAGGTGTACATGGCTACGAATAAAATGAGGGAAGTAAGGGAACATTTATTCTTCCCTATGTTGAGATCATTGAAGAGTAATATTTACTCTGGAGTACCTTTCTCTTTCCCTTTTACAACTCACTCTTCATTTAAAAAAAATACATATTCCCTTTAATTAAAAATCCTATTGATAGATTTGATTAAGGAGAATTATTTCAGTTCCTTTCCCATCTAAGTATATTATTCTGGATGACTCAAATCTAATGCCACAAATGTATTTGTCTATGAATGTTCCCAGCTTTATTTGAAATGCAGGGAACTCATAAAACCTCAGTGCCACCAAATGGCGACACTGTCTGGCAACCTGAAGGTGGACCAAGAGGTGTAAAAACAGAAGTCAAATAGGTAGCTGGGAAATGGTAAGTAACATGGTTCCAGAGGGTATCAAGCTTCAAACTAGCAGAAGCATTCATTCATAAAACTAATATTTATTAATTCTTTATCAGAAAACAAGGAGTAAGTACAGTGGCAGATAAGGCAGACACGATCTCACTATAACAACTTATAGTTAAGCAGATTTTTTTTTTTTTAGTACCTGTATTTATAACGATGGGTAAAAATTCTAACAGTAGGGTACTACTGTATAGGGTACTATTTGACCACTTGGTTTCCAAACCTCTTGCTTACCAGACTCTCACAAGCAACCTGGAACATTCTTTCTGGCAGCATTCTCTGCTGCTGCACGCTATCTGTGGAATAGTCTGTTATGTGCTACACACACCAAGACTTTTCAGTATCCATGTCTTTTCTGTATTGCCTGTCCACTTCCTCACACTCCTTTACCCCCATATCATTTTGTAACTTATTCTAGGTGTCTCAGCTTAATAAAACTCTTCAATTAAATCTTTTTAACTTCTACAGTTATTCTACATGCTGTGTCCCCACAATTTTTTATTCAGATGTCTCTAATAGCAAGTAAAATTATATTAATTTATTTACTTATGGCATTTCTCAATAGTCTGTGAACTCCTAAAGGAGCTCTTAAAAGCTCCTCAGCATTTAGCATGACAACTGGCACCTAATGTCTAGTATATTCTATAAATGTTTGTGATATGTATACTAAGTCAGTGTAAATGTTTTGGTGCAGTATTATGCTTTGGTACAATAGTACTATGTTAATGCTATTAACATTTACCCCTATTCCTAAAAAAGGAGACCATAGGAATAATCATGGTTATATTTTCTAGAGACTAGACTTGTTCTGTCCAATATGTTTGTCACTAGCCATATGAGGCTATTTAAATTTAAGTTAATTAAAATTAGATAAAATTGAAAATTTAGTTCTTCAGCTGCACTAGCCACATTTCAAGTACTCAGTAGTCACACGTGGCTTGTGGCTCTCATATGGAACAGTAGAGAAATAACATTTTCATCTTCACAGAAACTTTTATTTTACAGCTCTGGTGTAGGCCTTTGGTAAGGACACACATTTGTTCAGACTCTGAGACCATGTGACTTAAATCAGTCTCCAAGTAGCAACCACATACTCTTAACTGTACTTTCAGTTACTTTGAATGGGCAATCAGCATTTGAATGAGTAATATTTCGGTGTTGGCTAATATCTGATATACAGATGAGGGGTGTTAACAATAAATATATAGTGTATGACTCGAATAATTGTAAAAAGCCCAAAGTGGCTACTTAATAAGAGATAGGAGATTCCTTTGAGGTACAAGCATAATGTAGACTTGGGAAATAGAGCTTCCATTTGCTACAAAATTTTCTAACAGCTATGGTTGTATCTACAAACTAAGTTTAATTTTGATATGTGGCTGATGTGGGAAGGACTGATGGTTTCTTCAGCCATTCCATGTACATGATTTGTCACACTGTCCTCAGACTCATTTTTAAATGCAAAAGTTCATAAAATATTCTAACATCTGTAATGAGGATTGATATGATAGCAAATATGATCTTGTAAAATTCCTCCAAGATAAACATTCTTTAAAATAAAAGTTGAAGCATTTTCCCTCTGTTCACTATGAAAAGAAAATGGTAAAATCTGAAGTATTTTCCCCAACTAAACTAGGAAAATAAAACTAAACAACTGCAAATAAATATTGTCAAACAAATCAGTATTTACTACTTGTCATCTAGAGAAATTAGAAAGATGTAGACAGTATTAACTATATTGCCAACATTATCCTATTGTTTTTTTTTTTTTTGTCTTTTTTACTGACTGGTAACGGGATCGCAACCCTCGGTGTCACGCCCGTACCGGGGACCGGCAACGGGATCGCAACCCTCGGTGTTGCACCCGCACCGCGCTCAGCCAGTGAGCAGGAACCGGTCTCCACATGGGATCCGAACCCTTGGCGGGAGCGCTGCCACACTCCCAAGCGGCACACACTCTCCAGTGCACCACCGGGCCGGCCCAACATTATCCTATTGTAATTAAGGATTTAAAAATTATCCTAATCCCACAATCAAAAATAGTAGTAAAAGCTTCTACATGGAAAGCATTGGTGCCTTAGGAAAACAATATGATTCGTGAGTGGAAGGAGGGGAAAAAAAGGCCATCGAAAAAAGATGAAAGTAATTGGAGAAGCAAGAAAATATAGAGGAAGCAATAGTTAAGAATAACTAATGCAAGAGCATTTACTATAACAGCAAAGAAGGTGTGACTTTTAAGAGGGAATATTTTTTTTTCTGCCATAGTTGGAATAGAAGTCAGATTGTAGAAGTATGAAGTCAGAGTTCTCCAGAGAAACAGACCAATAGAAACAGACCCCTTGTGTGTGTGTGTGTGTGTGTGTAGATACACATACATACATAAATTTATACACATACACACATACACATACACATACATACCCATACACACAGGGTCTTCAAAAAGTTTACAGAAAGATTTTTATAATCTTTTAATTCCATTTTCCCACTGACTTTGAAGTACCTTTGTGTGTGTATGTGTGTATATAGATATAAATATAGATATATAGTGAGAGATTATAGAAATTAGTGCATGTGATTACGGAGGGTGAGAAGTTCCACAATCTGCAAGCTGGAGAAACAGGAAAGCTGGTGTTGTAATTCAGTCTAAGTTGGAAGGCCTGAGAACCATGAAGGCTGATGTCTAAGGACAGGAGAAGTTTGATGTCCCAGCTCAAGCAGAGAACAAATTCACCTTTCCTCTGCCTTTTTGTTCCATGAAGGCCCTCAGGCATTGGATGATGCCCACCTTCATTGGAGAGGGCATTTTCTTTACTCAGTCTACTGATTTAAATGCTAATCTCTTCTGGAAACACCCTCACAGACATACCCAGAAATAATGTTTTACCAGCTATCTGGGCATCCCTTAGCCCAGTAAAACTGACATATAAAATTAACCATTGCAGGAGGACTACGGCATGAGCCAGCAAGAATAATGGGACGTAGAACAAAGATCAACCTGATCAGGTATTAAGTTTGAAGAATATAAAAGAAAGATTTATGATAGTGTTGAAGAGGGAGGCAATAAGACCCTCAGGGGTCATAGAATCATAGAATATTAGGCCAGGAAAAGTTTTTCAAATCATTGATGATAATGTTCTACTTGATACAAGAATAATTTA